TGTTTTTTTGTAACGGTACAGGATATTTTTTAATCCCGCAGAAGTTACGTCATTAATTATGTGAAGTCAGTGTACTTAAAGTGAACATTGTTTCTTTGTAACGGTACAGGATATTTTTTAATCCTGCAGCAGTTACATCATTAATTATGTGAAGTCAGTGTACTTAAAGTGAACATTGTTTCTTTGTAACGGTACAGGATATTTTTTCGTCCTGCAACAGTTACATCATTAATTATGTGAAGTCAGTGTACTTAAAGTGAACATTGTTTTTTGTAACGGTACAGGATATTTTTTCGTCCTGCAGCAGTTACATCATTAATTATGTGAAGTCAGTGTACTTAAAGTGAACATTGTTTTTTGTGTAACGGTACATGATATTTTTTTGTCCTGCAGCAGTTACTAATTGTTTGCGAAGTTTATTTTTAATTTGTGTGTATTCAGCATCTTGGACATTGTGCCAGAAGAGGAAGTTTCATCCCACATCTATGAAAGCTTAGAAGAGATACACATCTTTGCATTAGCTCATGTCTTGCGGAGAGCAGTCATTGTGATATCGGACACGATGCTGAAAGATGCGACCGGAGAACCTTTTGCACCCATCTCCTTCGGTGGGATTTATCTTCCACTAGAACAGTCGGCGGCCGACTGTGACAAGTCTCCGCTCTGTCTGACCTACGATGCTGCACATTTCTCTGCCTTGGTTGCCATGGAAACAGAAACACGTGCCGAAAAGAAATTAAGGATACCGGGTAGGTTTCTTCCAAAGTCATTTCTTGAATATTATATAGTTTTAATTTATTATACTCATAAAAAGCTAGCTCAGTGTCTAACGTGTCGGACTGTGGATTTATTATACTCATAAAAAGCTAGCCCAGTATCTAACGTGTCAGACTGTGGATTTATTATACTCATAAAAAGCTAGCCCAGTATCTAATGTGTCAGACTGTGGATTTATTATACTCATAAAAAGCTAGCCCAGTGTCTAATGTGTCGGACTGTGGATTTATTATACTCATAAAAAGCTAGCCCAGTGTCTAACGTGTCGGACTGTGGATTTATTATACTCATAAAAAAGCTAGCCCAGTGTCTAACGTGTCGGACAGTGGATTTATTATAATCATAAAAAGCTAGCCCAGTGTCTAACGTGTTGGACTGTGGATTTATTATACGCATAAAAAGCTAGCCCAGTGTCTAACGTGTCGGACTGTGGATTTTAGGATCCATGAATTGCATCCTGTTATCAGCAAAAAAAATGCACTGTACACTTTGGGGCTGTGAGTGTGTTAAAAGAGCAATGATCAAATCCCACTATTTGGTCTGACAAGAGTTGGCAGTGGGTGGTGTTGACTTACCTGCCTTCCCTCTAGTCTATCTCTTAAAAATTAATGGCTGGCTAGTATAGATAGTCTTCATGTAACTTTTTTGTAAAATTCAACAAACATTTTTTTATTAATAATAATTACCTTCCTTGAAATGTTTTTTTAAACACGACATTATTGTATTAATATTTCTTTTTTTTTCTCACAGCTGTCATCCCATTGACTGATTCTCATTACACTCTCCTTCCTATTCAGTTTGCTGTAGACCCAGGGGTAGAGGTCAAATGGGGTAGTGATGAGAATGATCCATGGATCATATCAAAATTCACCCTAACAGACAAGGACAAGGTCACTTTACTCAGTATGTATTTGGACATTATCGATATTCCTCTCTCATTAGTTCAGGTACAATCTCAGCATGAACAAAAGCAAACTGAAAGTGCTAATGTAATTAATGGATTTTGTGAAGACAATCAGAAACCCCCTTATGGTAGTTCTGAATCTGATGACACATTAACTGATTCAAGTAGTAATTCATCCCAGCATAAAGTCAAAGCTGCTAAACATTTGCAAACTGTTGCCAAACAGTTGGGTAGAAGCATGAGCAAAAAGTTTAAGAAAAATTTTGGCGGCATTTCTCGAAAGAGTGGATCATTTAAAGGTGCAACAGATAAAACCGGTGTGGCTGCTTCTTTGGTAAAGAGTCCTTCGTGTAGTTCCCAAACAATCTCAACCGACTTGGATGGCAAGACACTGGACAGGAGCAACTTCATTCTTGCTGCTGTCCTTCACACGGACGTCCAACATGAATATCAGGAGGAGATGATCCGTAACTACTTGAACTCTGCCAGAGCACGGTTTTTGCAGGAAGAGGAACACAAGTCAACTGATTTGCCAGACGTCGAGCTTCCCGATGTAGATGTTGCTTCCTTCCTCTGCGTAAACCCTGGATGTTCTATGTATGGCACAGCTAAAACCAGCTATCTGTGTTCAGTGTGTTACATGAAACAGAAAGGGCATGAAACTCAGCATTCAGGTAAAAATGGCTCTGATAAGAGATAGTCTTTAAGTTTGAAGCCCCGTGGCTCATTCTGTTTGTAGACATTTAAACCTAAAAATTGTACGTGGCCTTGACTTAAATCTAAGTCCTATTCCTATTCTTTCCTATTCTTCTATTTCCTATTCTTCATTTGTATGGTATGTTATCACACGGACACGTGTGGGCACTACTTTTATCTCAACAGCTTCAGATGTTGTAACTGAACATCTTAACAGAAGATACATTAATACTTCTGATAGTACTTACAGTGAGAGACTAGCATGTTTGGCTGTTGCCTTACCGATTGTTTCTGGTAAGCGTGTTGCACACACACACAGAATTTACAGTCACTTTGTGGAAAGACTAGTTTATCACTAGTACTTACAGTGAGAGACTAGCATGTTTGGCTGTTGCCTTACCGATTGTTTCTGGTAAGCGTGTTGCACACACACACAGAATTTACAGTCACTTTGTGGAAAGACTAGTTTATCACTAGTACTTACAGTGAGAGACTAGCATGTTTGGCTGTTGCCTTACTGATTGTTTCTGGTAAGCGTGTTGCACACACACACACAGAATTTACAGTCACTTTGTGGAAAGACTAGTTTATCACTAGTACTTACAGTGAAAGACTAGCATGTTTGGCTGTTGCCTTACCGATTGTTTCTGGTAAGCGTGTTGCACACACACACAGAATTTACAGTCACTTTGTGGAAAGACTAGTTTATCACTCTTTATTCACATATTTCTAATGAATGAATCTGTAACAGATGGTATATTAATAATGAACATAACACTGACAACATGCTTTATAAACGAGTATGTATTATTTTCCATCACAGGTACGTTATTTAACATGTCATTAAAATCAGTCCTGCATACAATTTATCATATATAACCCACAGATGGTATATTAATAATGAACATAACACTGACAACATGCTTTATAAATGAGTATGTATTATTTTCCATCACAGGTATGTTATTTAACATGTCATTAAAATCAGTCCTGCATACAATTTATCATATATAACCCTTATTTTATTGAGTAGCTAATCTGTAAACAAAGCAGTGAATTAACTCATTGAAATACCAGTAAATGGTTTTAATACACCAAAACAGAAATATCTTTATTAATGTACTGTTAACTCGGTATGCTACTACTTTTCTCATTAATGGTATTGTTCACTAAACAAATTTTGTAAACAAAGCAGTGAATTAACTCATTGAAATACCAGTAAATGGTTTTAATACACCAAAACAGAAATATCTTTATTAATGTACTGTTAACTCGGTATGCTACTACTTTTCTCATTAATGGTATTGTTCACTAGAATTTTAACGTTTGTCGCAAGTGGGTAAAATTTTGACACACGAGTTGACTTTTGCACCACATAGATGTACTACTATCAACTCTTAGTACTGCTTTTATTTACAGTGGTTCAAATAACTGAAAGAAATTAAATTAATTATTTTCTCTTTACACGAGTGCACAGCAGAAAGTGCATTTTTTAGACATTTTGTAAATAACTTCTAACAAGCCATCATGCTTGTAATAACTTACTTGTTCTCAGTTTTAGCAATTGTAAATAAAGGTTTCCAATTTTTATTTGTGATATATCCAGTAAAAATAAATCAGTGTTCCTAGTGTTCTTTTTTAAAAAAAGTAACAAACTTTGGAGTTGTTCACGTATGGTTTTATTGTTCTTCGTATCACTAAAGTGAATAAGTAATGTTTAATTGACGCTTACACTATTTCTGCTCTTAATGACAAATTAAACTGTACATTTTCTTTATTTTTAAACAAAAATTAGTATAACATTGTTGATTTAGAGTTATTTGTTCATTACCCAACAAAAACGAGAAAGTTTAGTATTGTTGACATTGTTGATTTAGAGTTATTTGTTCATTACCTAACAAAAACGAGAAAGTTTAGTATTGTTGACACTACTGGTGTTTTATGCATTGCATGAAAGTTGTATTATTGACATATTTTTTGTTTCCACAACACAAGAAAATTAGATAAACACAAAATATCAGCACAGGAACTTTTATAATACTATATATATATATATATATCAACTAAAAAAGGAGTGTTAGGTAAGACAAGACATAGTTCTATGGTTTTTTTATACTGATCTTTCTTCGTAAAATAGTCAAATGTTAGATAGATATTAGATCTTACAGGTACCAATAGAAATTAATACTTTTTATGTGATGGTTTTTAGTAATTATTTTATCTTTACACTATCAGATCATATACAACTCATTGAAGATGTAGAAGTACCAGCTGTTCTGTCTACTTCTAAAGCTGGAACTATGAGTTCTTTAGATCGTACGGCTCTATTTTCCCATTCGTATAATTTAAACTTTTAAAATAATTTTACTGTGTCATCATCTCTTCTGGTTATCAAACATTCATTTATGTAAGTCAATGGAATGCAGTGTAGTGGATAGTGTGTGCTGGTCTGTGGATCTGTTATTTGTGCTGTGTTACCACAAGAACAAATAAAAAAAACATTGAGCTCCACATTTTGGAGCTGTGGAAACTTTGTAGGAGTGATGTTCAGATTACATTATCTGTCTTACAAGAGTAGACAATAGGCAGTGTTGACTAGCTACGTTTCATATTCCTCAATACCTTTGCACAAAATTCAACAAACGTGTTATGGTTTACATTTGTGTCAAAATAGCGATACGAATGAGGCAGATACGTCATGGTGTATCACCTGTACAGAGAGTAAACCTAACCTAATCTAAAGTTACGGTTAATGTAAAAAAAGTTACAAATTAAGGCATAAAGTGAATAATAAGTGACAGAATTAAGTAGTTTTCTCACATCTGGTAATCGACGTGTACGTCTCTATAGATGCCTGATGTTTACATCTGGTAATTAAACATCAGGCATCTATAGAGACGTACACGTCGATTACCAGATGTAAACATCAGGCATCTATAGAGACGTACACGTCGATTACCAGATGTAAACATCAGGCATCTAAAAGAGACGTACACGTCGATTACCAGATGTAAACATCAGGCATCTATAGAGACGTACACGTCGATTACCAGATGTAAACATCAGACATCTATAGAGACGTACACGTCAATTACCAGATGTAAACATCAGGCATCTATAGAGACGTACACGTCAATTACCAGATGTAAACATCAGGCATCTATAGAGATGTACACGTCGATTACCAGATGTAAACATTGGGCATCTAAAGAGACGTACACGTCGATTACCAGATGTAAACATCAGGCATCTATAGAGACGTACACGTCGATTACCAGATGTAAACATCAGGCATCTATAGAGACGTACACGTCAGATCTGGTAATCGACGTGTACGTCTCTATAGATGCCCGATGTTTACATCTGGTAATCGACGTGTACGTCTCTATAGATGCCTGATGTTTACATCTGGTAATCGAAGTGTACGTCTCTATAGATGCCTGATGTTTTTTTTGGTACAAATATTTACACGTTCTATCCTAAACCCAGATTTTTAATATAAATTTTTTTATTGTGCAGTTGTCTACTTTCATAGAAATCAGGGAGTCAGATGCTTACTGAAACAAATTGTAGAGGAGAAAAGAATAGCAGTATAAAATAACCAGACTTTCTACCATGTAATAATTCCCTCTTGTACATATTGAGAAAAGTCAAGTCTTCCTTTAACATGGATGAACAGTTACCATACATTTCTATCTGGTTAAGAAAACTGTTAGCTCTCTTAAACAAATTTGATGGGTGTGAAACGAAACGCTTGAGGTTTGCATTTTATCTCCCCACTTTTATCGTAGTCTATAAATTCGAACAAGTCTACTAAGATTAACCAAAATAAGCCGAAAATTTGTTGCACACAAAAGAATTTCGCGCATATTACCTTATTTCCTTCGTTCACTTAAAGAATTCAAAATGGCTGCTCTATTAAATCTTGACGCAAAATTAGTGCAAGACCTGATTTACGTTGCTTGACTGTGGTGCATCTATATGGAAGTCTGATAAATTAAGATTCATATTGAAATGGCTTAAAGCAAAGTTTGAATAGGTAAAAACTAGCTAGATTGGAGAATCAAGTTAAGGGGAAATAAATTTATATTAGCTTTTGTTTTCACTGCAGTTTAGATTAATGTGATAGTGTATAAATCACATTCTAGCATCACAGAAATAACCACGAAATTTAGTATTATTTATTAATATTATGGGCGAGAATTGCTTTATTTTCCAATAATTGTTTGTCATACTCAATGAAATTTAATAGTTAAATATGTTTATAATTATTTTAATGAAATTAAAATGATTTTAAATTTAAAATTACACAAATGTAGTCATTATGTTGTTGGTTTGAACTTCATTAAAACGGTATTGGTACCCAGACGACCTTTGAACAACACTGGCTTTAGTTATTATTGAAATTTTTAGGAAAGACAAACACATATATATATCACCAAACCACATATGAACAGATCTAGTAAATTAAGGCAGATGCTCTCGAATTGTCATATTATTACATAACTGTCCACAATTAAGAATATAAAAATCATTTCACTCGAGGCTAATTGTGTGTATCAGGATTTTGATGTGAGCGAGGAGGGGCAGATGTACTAAAGAACCAATTCAACATTTTGATGTTACATGAATGTTCACAAACAGAACATAGTAAAATTTTGTAAATGGTTCAATTATTTAAGAAATAATAATTTTTGAAGGTTTTAATTAAATATAGCAAACACAGACTGATGAATTACAGTAATGTTTATTTTAATACTTTTGAATACATAATACTAACATGAGGATATGTACATAACTTTTTCACTTAGGGAAATTTCATCGGTACAAATCTTATACTTCATCATACTTGATGTAATAATTAGAAGAATATTACCAAAGTTTAAATTGTACTAACCAGCAAGTATACTGTTGTTGTGAGGTTTATCGCTATTGATACAAGTGTTTCATGGATGACGAACGAGGTTAACTGTGGCCGTATTAAATGGAAGTTGGAAGTTATTCCGTGAGAACATTAACGTGACAATTTTAACTTTGACTTTAATCTTCTAGTGTTCAATTTAAAAACTGTTGACAAACTAATAGTTTCTAACCTTATGAAAAAATTGATGAAGTTAAATTCTGAAGTATCAGCAAAGGATGGAATTACAAATGTAAAACAAAAACATCCAAGTTGTTGTTTTGAGATTTAACTGAAACTAAAAGTATACAGTGGGTTGAGTATTTTATAATATTAACTTTGTTTTGAATATGCAAATGAATAACTCGCATGGTGACCACAGCCAATATGATGTTGTAATGGGATTCTGTGTATCAAAGTTACCTTTTGTCCGGAGATTGATACCATTGAAAACTGATAGGTTTTGAGGTAACCACAGCCAATATGATGTTGTAATGGGATTCTGTGTATCAAAGTTACCTTTTGTCCGTAGATTGATACCATTGAAAACTGATAGGTTTTTGAGGTAACCACAGCCAATATGATGTTGTAATGGGATTCTGTGTATCAAAGTTACCTTTTGTCCGTAGATTGATACCATTGAAAAC